TTTCAGAATGACATAATTCTATCTGTAGAAACCCCATACTGATTTTGGCAAGCTGAGATGTTTTCTGCTCTGAGCTGGTAATACTCATTTGGTGTGCCAGCTGGAGTATATTAGTAGTAGGCCATAAGATAACTGCTAGTTGGTAACAGTATATATTTTAATTAAACATCGTATGAGTTCAATACCCCCATAGCACATGTATCCATATAATTCACTCATTTTTCCTTTGACTGATCAGGCTCCCCTAAAGAAAATAATTTTGCTCCAGGCGTTCATTACATATGATAACCGGTGGTAATCCTCAGCAAACTGCAGTGACACCAAAACAGTAATTCTTTTCAGTCATCGCTGTATAGATGCCACAATTACATACTTTTTTCCCTAGCATCTAATACAATATGAAAGTTACAACGTTTGCACAATGTCACACAAATTTCATCATTTGCTCTCCTTGTCCTCCATTGCAGATAGCCATGGATGGGAATATTCATTCTCTTCTAATACAGACACATTACAGTCAGTTATGAAAACTGTTTCCTGGTGCATCTTTGCATGAGTCAGATGCTTTAAGCTTGCTCTCTTCCAGACAGGAGACGTACAATGAACAATAACATGTTGAAACACAGCAAGCAGTATTTCTATGCACTCTAATACCATTTATAATATAAAAGTAGAACATCCTTTCAGTTTAATTCAGGAAATTGTTCCTTAGTAATCGAAAAATCTGAAAGTGCTCTGGAATCATGCCACATTTAATGGATAGAGTTCTATAGTAAAATTACCATCATAAGGAAATTTTAAATGCAATTATGTTTTTTAAACTGTGACTTCCTTATCATCTTCGCACACAGTTGACAAGAGTTCCTTGTCTGACTTCTCCAATTAAATGATTGCTTGCAGCGTTTAATTATGTACAGATTATTGTAAATGGATTGCTATCTGCTAGCAGTGTAGGTAGTTTAATTATTATAGCAATATTTTTAAGGAATTATGCATATACCTCTCAACATTACAGAATATTGCTATTTTGCACAATAAATATTTACAGTTTAATTCCACTTTGTGAACCATTTGAGCATATTTGCTTCTTGATTATTATTCTGTTTGTCTTAGAATAGTTTAATTTGTATAGTTTAATTTCATAATTTCAGATAATGTTATTCATTGCCACCTCACCTTAGAAGAGACTTCCTATGTGGATATTACATCAGTGTTAATGACCAGCACACATCTATTTTTGGCATAGTCACGAGACAAAGTAGATTTGAATATGTAAAAGTGTAGGCATGCTACTCAAATTTATTTATTTATTATAAATCAATCCTTGAGTGAACAGAAACTGACACAACCTCTATATGGTACAATGTTAAATACATTTTTCTTCAAAATCCTAATGTATAGCTACTATCTATGTTCATTAGTTTAGAGAATCAAATAAAAATGCTACACATGGCACTCTAACCTTTTCACTCAATTAAATGTTTATTACAATCATAATAAATGAGGTTCAGGTTAAAATTAAAAAGCATAATATTTCACTCAATGTTTTGCAGTACCTCCTTGAGCAGAAATAATAGCTTTCAAAAATTTCAAGTAGCCAACAAAGAATCTATTCTTTCTCTTTGTATCTTTTCTCACTCTTCCTTGCAGAACTCTTAGGACTCAGAAATATTCTTAGAATTTCTTGCATGCACTGTATGCTTGAGATCTCACAAATTCTAAATAACATTCAAGTCTGAGGACTCTGAAGACCCTTATAATACCTTTATATATTTTTTCCTGTAAGTACTAAATGGTTTGTTTGGAAGAATGTTTCAGGCTGTTGTCTTGCTGAAATATCAAACTTTTTTTCAACTTCAGTTTCTTTGAGACTTCAGACATTAGATGCAAAGAACATGCTGGTGTTTGCTTGAATCATTCTTCTGTGCCCACAATATGCTTCTGGCTGCCAAAGGATAATAGAGTAACCCTTATACTTAATGGTTGCCAAAGTATGCTTTTCCTCAAATGTTTTGCCCTTTTTGCTCCCAACATTTCTTGTGTGGTTGTAGCTGAATAGCTCAATTTTTGTTTCATCATTCCAAAGCATTTTGTTTCAGAACACTTCAATTTTACCAGGGTTTCTTTTTACATACTTTAGACAACGTATTTTGTCATGAGATTAGAGAACTGACAAAATGTCCCATATGGACCATTATTGTATAGGCAACACTGCAATGTTGCCAGTTAGTCCACTGTCAGCTAAAGTTTTCAGCAGATTGTTTGTAGTTATCTCTGGGTTTGTTTTACAGATAAGACCATTCTAGCAGAGATCTTTCTTGATCTTTGAGATCTTCATTTGATTTCCACAGTTGGTTGTAACTTCCATTTTTTAAAAGTATTCCTCGCCATTGAAATTGCTAGCTGGAAGCATTTAGAGGTTTTATAGCCTCCTAAAATTTTGTACGAGTGAATTACCTTCATTTTCAAAAGCTTAAACAGCTATTCACAGGAGCTCACAGAAGGTAAAGGTAGACAGAACAACAACTCTAACCTGAGTTAAAGCGTGTGAACATTTTATTACGTATAGGATTGTCTTCACCTGGTTAATTGTAGGTTTAACAAGATTGTCACTTTTGTAGCCTTTATTTATAGTGTTACAATGATACAAAGATAATAACAGTCATACCGAATCATATAGCCTTGCCTAGTGACTACTTTCTATCACTTTTTCTCATTTGCATGTTGGACCATGATTTTGGAAAGGGTGCAGAGAAGAGCAACAAAATTTCTTAGGGGGCTGGAGCAGGGGTGAAATTCACTTACCTTCACTACTGGTTCACAAATGTGAGTGTGCACGCCTTCTCCACGCATGTGCAGAGGGTCAAAAACAAGACGTGATGACGTCCGGGCGGGTGGGCAGAGCTAGCTAGTGGTTCAGGCTAGCCGGATAGAACCGGCTGAATTTCACCACTGGGCTGGAGGCTAAAATATTACTGTGTATGAAGAAAGGATGCAGAAATTGGGTATGGCTAGTCTAGGGAAAAGAAAGACTTTTCACTAGACTAGTGTCACTAGTGACATGATAGCAGGGTTCCAAAATTTGAACCACCAGTGCCACCAAGAAGAGGGGGTCAACCTATTCTCCAAAGCTCAACCTATTCTCCAAAGCACCAGAAGGCAAGACAAGAAACAATGAATGGAAACTAATCAAGGAGAGAAGCAACTTAGAACTAAGGAGAAATTTCCCAACATGGAATGAAGTCAATGGGTACTCCGTCATTGGAGGCTTTTAAGAAGAGACTGGACAGCCACTTGTCTGAAATGGTATAGGGTCTCCTGCTTGAGCAGGAGGTGGGACTAGAAGTCCTCCAAGGTCCCTTCCAACTCTGTTATTCTGTTTTGCTTAAGGACCCCTGTTTGCTATGGAAGTCATATTTCTTGGTCCTGGCTTTGTTGGGTGCTTTCTTTGGTAATGAACCATGAAATCCAACTTTCAGATGGTAGGAGAACTAGAACCGGGGCAATTCTAATCTTTTGTCACATGTTTTTTTTTAATTGGACTTCCAGTGGGAAGGTGGTTGAGAAAAAGATATTCCATTAAACTCCCTGAATCAATAATAGACCAGGCTTGCTTTGTTTATGTCCCTTTTGTTGGGTATTCTGTAAATGGCAAGCTTTGCTTTGATAATAGACCACTTAAAAAAAAAATCTCTGAAGTTGAATCAGAATTTATCCCTTTAATCTTCAGTTAGGGCTGGAAATTCCATTGCTAAACAACGAAGTTGTTAAGTGACAAGTCATGTGACTGCAAAAGACTCACAACCTCCCTTCCCTCACATTTATTATTGTGAATTGAGGTAACTCTTTTTGTATCTTCTTCCAGAATTAATCTTTGGAATTTTGTGTCTCTCTTTTCTGAGAGAAAAGGTGCTTAGTTGCTAGTGGATTCAAGTGATGCCCTCCAGGGGAGTTGGACTACAGTGATCAGAATTCCCAATGAGTTGAATAAATAGTTCTAGGAATTGTGGTTTTTTTCATATATAAAAGAGAGGTAGTTGGAGAAGGCTGCACTAAGCTGAGTCCTAATATTTTCCTGGTGTTGTGTGTTTTGAGTCAAATCAGACTTTATGCTGATCCATCTTATAAGGGTGGATGAGATGGAAGACCAGCATATAAAACATAAAGAGAACAATGTACAATCACTTTCAATGTCTTATTGGAAAGGACTGATTGCTCCTGTCCCTAGTTATTTATTTGAGCCTGTTCTGCCAGCATCGTTCTGCCAGCGTATAACAGAATAAGGCAACTAGATGAGGCAGCAGAGAACAAAAACATGCAAGTATTTTTATAAGTGGGTAAGTACAGCCAGGAAATAGAGGCTCAGGAAGGCTGAGTTTTCTGCCAGCTAATCAGTCTTCTGCAACCTGACATGACCTTGGTGTCTTGGGAATACATCTCCTAAAATTACAAGCTAGCCTGCTATTATACTGAAATGAATAAATAAAACCATACTTTTGAAATGTTGCTTTGTTTCACTTGATGGAGGGAAGAACTATCAGCCAAGGAGTTCAGATTGGTTACACCTTACCATCTGAGATTAGATTGAGCCCAATCCCACTTGATCTTCCAGAAAACATTGAACACCTGGTTGTTTCCGCAAGCAGGGTGTTCATGAAGTTAGTGAAGCCTGGGTGGATTGCTCTTATATTGCATTATATGATACGTTACGTTGTATTATGTTGTTATTGCTTTTACTCTCATCTTTTTGAGATTCCTTTTTGAGTTATATGTTTTGAATGTCATGTTTTAATGGTTTCATATTGTGGCTTCTATTTAAACTTTGCTCAGAGTCACTGCAGTGAGAGCGGCAACCATATTAACATAGCATAGCATAACATGTAGTACAGTGTATAGCATACTTTTATTTGTTTTAAAATCCATTATTTCTGTTCAATATTTAAAATGCTTTGGGTAGTTGCTAATTTGGAGGTAATAGTTTGCTTGAATATGTCTTACAGCCCAGTTCAACGGGGGAGAGATAAGGCAATCTTCACCTTCTCCATCTTCAAGTGATCGGCGCCGACAGCTTCGGGCACCTGGGGGAGGCTTCAAACCCATCAAACATGGTAGCCCAGAATTCTGTGGAATCTTGGGAGAGAGAGTGGATCCAACTATTCCACTGGAAAAACAGATGTAAGTTGCTGATACTTGGTGCAGGGAAACATAGGGCAGCAGAAACTGACATTGAAGTGATATTGTGCACTTGTTGGGAGTTTGCAGGGCTGTGACCAGTACACATCTCTCAAAGCTGCTTTGCTTTGTCTTGCATATCATATAGTACAGTGGAATGTCTTTTAAAAAACCTCTTAAAATTCTAAAAGTGAATTTATTCTAAGTGTTAATTGCTTGTATTTTTTGTAGATGGTATCATGGAGCAATCAGTCGGACAGATGCAGAAAACCTCTTGCGCTTGTGTAAAGAATGTAGTTATCTAGTGAGGAACAGCCAAACAAGCAAGCATGACTATTCACTTTCTTTAAAGTAAGTATCCTTTAAACAAATTATAGGCACAGTGTTAAAGCAGATTTGTAGGGTGCAGCAGCAGCTACCACACATTCCTTCATCTTGACATTAAAAAGCCTTCCTCAAGCCCCATCGGAATTTTAGAATTCCAGATGTCAGACGGGATTGCTTTGAGTGACACTTCTGAGGTTTGGTTTTAATGCTCCAGGGACAAACATGGGGGGGTTTGTTTAGATTTGTTTTGTTTTTAGTTTTTATCTCTTCTTGTTGCTGATTAAAATGTTTCGGTTACATTTTTCTTCTTTCAAAATTCAATAAAGCGATTATTTAGTTAGTTTTTTCTCCTCTTTCCCTGCTTTGACAGATAACTTACGTATACCCACAAAGTACAAAGAGTTTGCATTGCACTGAATACAATGAATGAAAAGATTAGTTTTATTAACTGGTAAAATTGTAAAATTTTACAATTGTAAAATGTAAAATTTCCCCAAGTAAAACAAGCAATGGAAATTGGAGTGGAATAGAAAATAAGTTTTAAGGTTGGGGAGATATCATTGATTTATATTAAAAAGAATGAGGAAAAAATGTAAGTAATCATTAAAAAAACTAGTACTAACATTTTTAGGCTGCAATCATACATACATTTGCCTAAAATTAAATCCTATTGAATTGACTAAGATTTCCTTTCCAAATAAATATGCAAAGGATCAGATTTTTAAATAGATACATAGATATAAATAAAATATAGATACCCTGTTTCTCCCAAAATAAAACATCCCCTGATAATAAGCCCAATCAGGCTTTTGAGCGCATGACAATAAGGCCAAGCGCTTATTTCAGGGTTCAAAAAAATTTAAGACAGGTCTTATTTTCGGGGAAACACAGTATTTCTTTCTGCAGCCAATAATATCTATAAATATGAATTGGAATAATTGTAATACTTAAACATTCATTCTGTAAGATATCCAGAATCACTATGTGAGATGGCAGCTATGTAAATTAAAGAAGGAAATAAAATGAATGAATGAATGCATTATGATTTGTAGTACTGAAAATGCACTATCCCCTTCAATTTATATTTTACTGAATTTTAGTCTAGACTCTAGACTAATACCAATTTTATTCTTCCCATAATCGTGGAATTATTTCTTTCTAATTAACATCAAACCAAATAGTGATTTACATAAGCAATAAAAAGTAATATAATCAGATCACATTTAGAATGTTATCCAAGTAAGAAAATTGTTTTGATCCAAAGATACATTATAATCACATGTTAATAATATCTATAAACTATAAACAGGTATTTGAGGAAAGGGAACAGTAACATTCCATTATCAATATTAGAGTCACTGGAAGGTTATTTGTTGTCATCAATAAGCAAAATTACATTATTAATAATACATTTCATTGATTTGCCACATCAGAACTCTTAAAGATCTTGGCTTAGCTATGGATAAGAAGCTTTTGCAGGTGCTCCTGTCTTTGTCAACTGCAGTAATAGTTAACAAACCATAGACTGTCTCCTTTTTCTGCTCATTCTTCTAGAAGCAAGCTGGAAATCCTATTTAATGAGATGCTAAACAAACCATGACCAGTTAGCTGTATCATCTGTTTGGAAGACCTAATAAGTTACTAGAGTAACATGAACCTGCTCACTTCTTGTTCAGGACTAAATCGAGAATATACAGTATATACCGTGTTTCCCCAAAAATACAAACCTACCCCAAAAACAAGCCCTAGCCCAAATTTCATGCCTGCACCTAATATAAGCCCTACCCCCAAGATAAATTAAGCCCCGCCATTATCTGGTTGTACGAGGTAGGGCACGGCACAGGCGTAAAAATCAAGCTAGAGTTGGGATATAAACTTTGTACAAGGAATTCAATTCTGTTACTCTTTTTTTTTTTTTATTGTAAAAGTTTTACAATTACATTTTCACCCCGTTTTCACCCCCCTAACCCACCCCAAGCTCCCCAACCCATCCTCCCTAACCCCCCCTAACCCTCCCCTCCCCCCGGACTTCCATAGAGTGTACCCCATCATTATCCCCTTTATATAAAAAAAAACCTTAAACTTTAAACCCCCCAACCCCCATATCAATTTTCATCTTCACATAGTTCAAATATTTCTATCTTAATGTAATATAATACTATCAATAAAAAGCTATTTGATACTTCCTAGTTTGATATTTGTTCTGCACATAATCTATCCATTTTTTCCATTCACATTCATAAGTCTCTTGTGAGCGGTCTTTTAAATATGCTGAAATCTTCGCCATCTCAGCGAAACTGGCCATCTTCAAAGTCCATTCTTGAACGGTGGGCAAAGCTACATTTTTCCAATATTTACCTATCAGCAATCTCGCTGCTGTAATCATATACAAAATCAACTTTGTTTCATCCACTGTAAAACCCTTGGCTATACCCAATAAAAACAATTGTGGAGAAAATTGAATTTTTTTCTTCAAAACATTCTGCATAACCCACCAAATTTTTATCCAAAAAGCCTTAACTTTCTTACAGGTCCACCAAATATGAAAATATGTAGCATCTGTACAATCACACCTCCAACATTTTGGCTGAACATTAGGATACATACACGACAGTTTCTTAGGGTCTAGATGCCATCTATAAAACATTTTGTAAAAATTTTCCCTCAAATTCTGCGACTGTGTAAATTTAACATTCTGGACCCAAATTTTTTCCCATGTTTCCAACATCACTGGTTCTTCAAAATTTTGTGCCCACTTAATCATACAATCTTTAACTAATTCAGTTTCTGAATCCCTTTCTAGCAAAACATTATAAAGCCTTTTAATATGCATTGGACCTTTCTCTCTTATATGTCTGACCAATTCTTCCTCATGCAACATAATACCAGTTTTTTGGTCCTCTTTCCATCTCAATTGTAATTGATTATATTGTAACCAGGTTAAATTAATCCCTTCGTCCAACAGTGTCTGCAATGTCTTCAGCTGCCATCTGCCCGCATCTGTAAAAAGAACCTCTTTGTATAAAAACCCCCCGAGTGACATTATATTTGTATTCCACAAAGTATGACCAAGATCCAACCATAGCGGTATTTTATAATCCCATTTGAGTCGGTGCTTCTTCCAAACTCTCATCAGAGAGTCTCTAAGTATATGACTTTTGAATATTTTATCAACTTTGTCATCATAAAATAAGTAAGCGTGCCATCCAAATTCAAGATCAAAACTTTCTGCATTCAATATTCCAGCCTTTTTACTTCCAAACCAATCACTTGTTAAAGTTAAAGCTGCTGCATCATAATATAGCTGTAGGTTTGGAAGTTTAAGACCTCCTCTTTCTGGAACATCTTGCATAATTTTCAATTTCACTCTCGGCTTCTTCTCGTTCCAGACAAACTTATTCACACCAGACTGCCAAACTTTCAGTTGTTTATCACTTTTAAGCACCGGAATCATTTGAAACAAAAACAGAAATCTTGGCAAAATGTTCATCTTAACTGCTGCTATTCTTCCAAGTAAAGACAGTTGCAGCTTTTTCCAAGTCTCCATGTCTTTCTGAACCTCTCGCCACAACACCTCATAATTATTTTGAAACAATTTCATGTTTGATTCTGCAACCTGAACTCCAAGATATTTTACCTTAGGTACAATTTCAAAACCTGCCCTCCTTTCAAGCTCATGTTTGCGATCTTGTGTCATATTTTTAACTATCATTTTAGTCTTTTTTGAATTCAGTCTAAAACCTGAAACTTTACCATAGTCTTGTATAATGTCCTTCATCAAGATTATTGATTCCATTGGTTGTGATAGGGTAACAACCAGATCATCTGCAAATGCCTTTATTCTGTAATCCTCTTGCCTAATCTTTATACCTTTCAAGATATTAGAGTCCCGTATTGTATTTAACAAGACTTCTAGTGTTAAAATAAATAAAAGTGGGGACAACGGGCATCCCTGTCTTGTTCCTTTTTCAATTTTAAACTCTGTTGTCAAACTTCCATTAATAATAATCTGTGCCTTTTGCTCTTGATATATTGCCGAAATCGCCTGTATAAATTGGTCCCCAAAGTCCATCTTTTTCAAAGTCTTTACTAGAAAATTCCAATCCACTCTATCAAAGGCCTTCTCTGCATCCAAAAAGACCAGCACTGCAGGGATCTGTTTATTCTTCTCAAGATATTCCAGTAAATTTATTACTTGCCTTACATTATCCTTCATATATCTGCCCTCGATAAATCCCGCTTGATCATCATGAATCACCTCTTGAATTACTGGCATCAATCTGTTGGCTAATACTTTTGCATAAATTTTATAGTCATTATTTAAAAGAGATATTGGTCTATAATTTTCCGGTTTTTTAGGACCTACATGTTCTTTTGGTATCAAAGTAATATATGCTGATTTCCATGATGGGGGTATTTTACCCCCTTGTTGTATATTGCAAAATATCTCTAAGTTGTTCCACCATTTCTGCTTGTAAAGTTTTATAATACACTGCAGTCAGTCCATCTGTTCCAGGAGCTTTAGCTGTTTTCAATTGTTTAATTGCTGCAATTATTTCCTCAACTGTTATAGGGTAGTTCATTCTTTCTTTTTGTTGACTAGTAATTTTACAGTATATACCGTGTTTCCCCAAAAATACAACCTACCCCAAAAACAAGCCCTAGCCCAAATTTCATGCCTGCACCTAATATAAGCCCTACCCCCAAGATAAATTAAGCCCCGCCATTATCTGGTTGTACGAGGTAGGGCACGGCACAGGCGTAAAAATCAAGCTAGGTTGGGATATAAACTTTGTACAAGGAATTCAATTCTGTTACTCTTTTGATGATATTGTACACTTTCATTTGTTCTCTAATCCATGTGCAGGTCTTTCTATCTTGTCTTGTAATTCCGAGCATGTATCTTTCCATGACTCTTTGCGCCACTCATAGCTATTGTATTGATTGTGAGGTTAGTGTCCATGTTTCACTGGCATATGTTAGAACAAGTAGTACACACTGATCAAAAACTTTTCTCTTCAGGC